ACTCCGCGCGCACAAAGCTCTCCTTGTGAGCTTGGGGGGCTCCGTCGGGCCGGCTGCTCCTCCCCCTGCCCAGGCCTTCAGGCCCTTTTGTTGTTGTTGTTCATTGTTTTTCTGCGTTAAGGACTGCGAGACTGGGGCATCCCGTGGGAATGGGGAGAAGACCTGGCCCTGGGTGCTCGCACATCCCTCCGCCAACTCTGGCGACCCCCACCCACCCTTTGCCCCGGCGCTGGTCCACCGGCCTGGCCCGGGAGGAAGCCGCGTGGGAGTTGTCTGAAGAGGTTTTTCCTCTCTCTCCCTCTTATTTTGGGCTAAAGGTGGGAGAGGGATTTAATCAGTTTCTTATTTTGGGCCATCCCAACCCACTCTGCCAGTCCCTGGCCTGGGTGCGGTCGGGAGGGGCCAGGAAGGGCCCACGAAAGCGGGAGGGGATCAGAACTTGGCTTCCTCTGCCCAGGTCCCACCTCCGGATGAAACTTCTCCAGAATGAGGGACACTGTGTGAGAAAGTGTGCCCCCAGGGGTCGGTGGAACTGTGCCCTGGGGATGGGCTAAACCGGCCTGACTGCAGTCCTCCTCACCCAGGCCTGAGCCCCGTGAGCACCTAACAAAAGGAGAGTCTTGGGCATCTCCCGGCTGCCCACTGCCAACTTCTCCCGCCCTGCCCGCCTTCCTTCCCGCCTGCCAGGCCCCTAGGGGAGGGGCGGCAGCCCTGGCTCTGTTTTAAGTGGGTCATGGGCAGCCCCACAGCCAGAACCACCCTTTGCTCCTGGTGGGAGGCAGAAGAGGGAGGAGCAGGCCCCAGGCTAAGATCCAGGGCCTGCTGTTGAGCCTGAGATCCCCCAAGCTCAGCCAGGACCCCTGGCTCAGAGCTGAGAGGGGCTTCCCTTGACGTTTCCCCTGGAGGAATCCGTGCACCCCTCATTCCACAAGACAGAGCCTCAGATCTTTGACCCCCAAAAGTTGCCCCCTCTCCAAGTCAAAGTGGAGAGAAAGGGGTGCCCCAGGCTTCAGATAGCCCCAGCCCTCCCAACAGGCTCCAGGAGGACCCTCTCCGACCCTTCTCCTGTCTGGGGCTTGGCACTTCCCCCACTGGGCTGCAGACAGGATCCTCTGGGCTGTGGTTCCCACCTCAGTCTTCTCAGGGAGAGAAGGCTCCCTAGACTCTGGGGAATCCCCTTTGTTGACGAACCTCCATTTCTCTTTACAGACCGTGGGGTGGAGGTGTGGGTGTGGATCCTTAGACCTGGGAAATGACTCTGGATGACATTGAGTTTGGCTTTGGGTGGCGGAGCCTCTAGAAGGAGCCCTGAAGGCGTAGTGATTACGCACTTGCCTTGGGCGGTTAACTGGGAGACAGCCACTGGAAACCACCAGGGGCCTTGCGGAGGTTGGAGGGGTGGGAGGGAAGGCTGACAACTCCGGTCAAGATCCACAAGTCTCCGAAACCCACAGGAGCAGTTCTCCTCTGCCCTCTGAGGTCACTCTGAGTCAGAATCTACTCGATGGCAGCCAGAGGCATCTACCCCAGACGTCCTCTCGACTGCCCACCCCACTTCTGCCATCCTGCCCAAGGAGATTCCCCTGGCTTTGCTGAGAGTTGAAGGGGACTTGCCCCCAAACCAGCTAACCTTCAGCTCCGGGAGTAGTTGACTCCCATCTCTCCCCAGAGTCTGAAATGGCTGCTTTCCCGCTCTGGGTCATGGGCCCAGTGTGTGCCTACCTTGCAGGTGAGGCTAGGGGCAAAGGGAGTTTTCTGCATACTTGGGCACAGGCCACAGCAGGCCTCTCACAGGCACTGGCTGTGGCATCAACCAGCACAGGTCAGGGCAAGCCCACAGCTCCTGGAGAGTAGCCCAGGATGGGAGCACCCTGCACGGCTCCCCTCTGGCGTGCCAGAAGTTAAACTTCTCCCCTCCTCTCCCCATCATCCTGGCCGGGCTTCCTCTTGGCTGAGAGAAGACTGGGTTGTTTATTTCCTGGGCTCTCACTCTGGGCCTTGGAGATCATTTCCCAGAACCGTGTTGCAATTCCTGCTGCCCCTGTGAGCTCATGTCCCCTGAGTGAGCTCCTGAATCACCCCCAGCCCCGTGGAAGGGCACTGCTCTGATAGCCAGAGTCTAGATCCAGCTCCTGACCCAGGCCCGGGATAGTGGGCGATACGGCACCCAACAGCAGTCTCTGTCTACCTACCCTATAAATTCTCTGTCCTATAAATTCCTACTCAGGGTCCCCTGCAGCATCACTCTGGGCTCCTTCTGAAAGCAAAGCAGGAGCCAGGACCAGAGTTATCTGGGTAGTTAGCTTGTCTCGGCCACCGGAGAAGGCAAACAACTCCATATTCCATAGTCAGTCTAGATCGTTTTACTGTGAAGACTTTAGGAAAATAGTCAACTGTTCTTACCATAAAGGCTGACTCTTTCTTGCCTAGGAGTTTGCAAATGTGTGTGCCTTTCAGTCATACATCAAAACCTCAACTTTAATGGAAGGCAGTATGCCAGAATTTATATTATGGACAATTCAAAGCATGCTCCCAATAAAAGAATTTCCGGGCTTTCATTACCAACATGCCCCCGCCCCACCACCACCACCTTAGATCCAATGCTGCCTGGATGGGGACAGTGGCAAGATCCTGGCTTGACTTGAATCACACCTCTTGCCCCTCTGAAGGCTCAGCTTACTCTGAGCAGCGTCCACTCCCAGCCCTAGCTTCCCTCCCATCTTAACAGATCTCAGCTGGGAGGGTCCTGGAGGCCTAGGCATGCCTGTCCCTAGAGGGCCCCCAGGCTGACCCCAAATCTGAGCGCCTCAGCCCTTGAGTGTGCCCCTCCCCGCTGGCCCCCTCAGCATGGACACAGTAAGAATGCTGATACAGAGGGGAGAGGTGCTAGAAGGGCTCTCACAGTCTGAGAAGACAGCCTAGAATTCTCTGCTACACCATTAGGACTCCTGTCCTCAAGAAAGCTACAGCCAAAGTCCAGAGCGGTGGCTTCCCATCCTTGTTTGAGCCCAGGCTCCAAGGGGCAAGCCATGCTGGGCTCCCCCTGGCCCCCCACCAAGCTGGAAGCCAGTGCCTTTGTCATCCAGCACAAAGGTGCATGTCACGGATTGTGGTGTCACACCTTATGGGGGACCGCAGACTCCCCGGGGCCAGGTGGAGGATGTTCTAAGGCAGACCCCTTTCCTACAGGCCTGGCTGCAGCAGTATGGCTACCTGCCCCCCGGGGACCTGCGTACTCACACACAGCGCTCGCCCCAGTCGCTCTCCGCTGCCATCTCCGCCATGCAGAGGTTCTATGGTTTACGCGTAACGGGCAAAGCCGA